TGCGCAATGAGGATGCGTCGTATATTATGTCGATGTTGTACTCTCACTTGTGCAGTTTTCGTTTTTACGTTTGTGTAATTTTCTCATTATATTGTGTAAATATTTTGTTGATTGTGTAGTTTTTGTATAGTTTGTGTAAATTTCAACAACTTTGTGTGTATTTTTCGCAATTTGGGTAAGTTTTGACTTACTCGTGTAATTTTTTATTAGTTTACTAAAATTTAAATGTGCTAAATATTTTTATTTTTAATATTTTCAAGAAGTTCAGGAAATACTTTTGAACCAATCGGCGTGCCATATAGAAGTTCTGTTTATCATTCACAAGCTTGTTGGAAGCTTGGATGCATGGATTGGTGGGGGTTCCCATTAATTTTGCTACTTGCTAAATTAAAAGTATTGCAGTAAAAAAAATCCATGCTAATTTATGGTATCGTTCCTTCAATAAATATGCCCCCCCCCCTCTTTTGTAAAAGGGAGGGCATATTGCTTTGCTGCTGTCTTCCTCCAACAGTTTCTATTCATTTTCTTTGCAGAGGTTGCTCATACTGAAATGAAATTTGGTATACAGATTTATCATAAGAATATAAAGGTCAAGAACTGTTTTGAGTACGACTGAGCAATTTTTGACAGAGTTTTGCCCTTGGACTAAGAAAAAAATCCAATAATTTGCAGTGTCCGTTTATTTTCTTAGCATGTATGTCCAAAGGGGGGATGGGGTGGGGTGGCGTGGGTTTATAGTGTTTCACAAATATTTCTTGTTTTTGTTTTTCTTGTTCAGTAACTTCTGTTAACTTGTTGCCCTCCCCACTGATACTACCTCTATTGGCCAGATTAAGATTGTTTAGAGAAAGCAAAGAGAGATTACCAGATTTTTTTACTTAAGTATAGTCATGTACCCAATATGCATTAATTTACTTTAGTTGGAGTTCTTTGTATTAATTGTCTTTACAGCTGTACATGTAATACTAGTAGATTAAAAGCAATTTGATGTTATCAAAATAAAATGAATTTGTAATGGTTCAGTATCTCAACACATAGAATTAAGTCATACTTGCATTTAGTTTTAATATTGTTTGTCTTAAGTTATATACATTTAACATTGCTTTTGAATTTGCAATTTCTTTTACAGACGTCCAAATCTTACTTAGAGAAGAGCATTAAAGAAAGTGAAGACAACCTTAGAGAATTAGTCATGTCAAAACAACAAAATAGATAGTTCATTTTTTTTGTTTATTTTTTTTTTAAATAAATATTTGTACAAATTTCTTAGCATCAAGCTTTCTAATTTCTGGCAGAGAGAAAATTGCACATTGTCTGAGCACTTTGGTGCTGAGAAAAAACATAAATCAGTTCAGTATTGAAAAGTTTAAATGCAAAGTTGGTTCGGGGAGGGGTATGATAGGAAGAAACTTGAATCTACACTACCTGAGGATTGCTTCCATATGACCAATCATGACTTTGCTGTTTTAGAAGATTTTAAAAGAAATTTCCTTTTTAGCTCACCTGAGCCAAAGGCTCAAGTGAGCTTTTCTGATCAAAATTTGTCCATTGTCTGTCGTCGTTGTTGTTAACTTTTCACATTTTCATCTTCTTCTCAAGAACCACTGGGCCAATTTCAACCAAACTTGCTACAAAGTATCCTTGGGTAAAGGGGATTCAAGTTTGTTCAAATGAAGGGCCACGCCCTTTTCCAAGGGGAGATAATTATGAATTTGAGAAAAATTAATTGCATTTTTTAAAAATCTTCTTCTCAAAAACAACTGGGCCAGGAAAGATGAAACTCATGTGGAATCATCCTCAGATAGTGTAGATTCAAGTTTGATCAAATCATGACCCCCAGGGGTAGGGTGGGGCCAAAATGGCCGATCAAAGTTTTACATAGGAGTATATAGGAAACATCTTTAAAAATCTTCTTGTGTTTATCACTGTGATATACGCGAGCCAACGACAGAGGTGAATGTATGAGCCGATGGTAGAGAGTGCCCAAGGGGTAGGATGGGGCCAAAATGGCCGATCAAAGTTTTACATAGGAGTATCAAGAACCACAGGGCCAGGAAAGATGAAACTCATGTGGAATCATCCTCTTATAGTGTAAATTCAAATTTGTTCAAATCATGACCCCCAGGGGTAGGGTGGGGCCAAAATGGCCAATCAAAGTTTTACATAGGAATATATAGGAAACATCTTTAAAAATCTTCTTCTCAAGAACCACAGGGCCAGGAAAGATGAAACTCATGTGGAATCATCCTCAGATAGTGTAGATTCAAGTTTGTTCAAATCATGACCCCCAGGGGTAGGGTGGGGCCAAAATGGCCGATCAAAGTTTTACATAGGAATATATAGGAAACATCTTTAAAAATCTTCTCCTCAAGAACCACTGGGCCAGGAAAGATGAAACTCATGTGGAATCATCCTCAGATAGTGTAGATTCAAGTTTGTTCAAATCATGACCCTCGGGAGTAGAGTGGGGCCAAAATGGCCAATCAGAGTTTTACATAGGAGTATATAGGAAAAATCTTTAAAAATCTTCTTCTCAAGAACCACTGGGACAGGAAAAATGAAACTCATGTGGAATCATCCTCAGATAGTGTAGATTCAGGTTTGTTCAAATCATGACCCCCAGGGGATAGGGTGGGGCCAAAATGGCCGACCAAAAATTCTCATAGGAATATATAGGGAAACCTTTTAAAATCTTCTTTTCAAGTACTTCAAAGAGATGATTAGTAATATTTATGTAGAATTATCCTCAGTGTAGATTCTAGTTCGTCCAAATCATGATTTGTGCTTTTTCCTAGCTGATGTGCTCAGGTGAGCGCTGAAGCCCCTGGGCCTCTTGTTTCCTATGATGAACTTTGATCTGCTGTTGTGGCCCCACCCTATCCCTGGGGGTCATGATATGAACAAACTTAATCTACACTGCCTGAGGATACCTCCCCAGGTAGTTTAGATTCAAGTTTCTTCAAATCATGACCACCTAAGGTAGGGTGGGTCTACTGTTTGCAATTAAAGAATCACAGACATATAAAGGAAATTCCATAAAAATTATCTCAAGAATAGTGCAGCCAAGATTGGTGATATTTATATGGAAGCATCTTTAGGTTGTGTAAAATCAAATTTGTTAAAATGATGACCCCTGGGTGTAGGAACTAGGAAGAGGCCACATTGGACAATCAAAGTTTAACATAGAAACGTATAGGAAAAATCTCGAGAACAGCAAAGCCATGATTGGTCATATTTATGTAAAAGCACCCTCAGATACAGATAAACAGAGGTCCTGTGTCACAGAAGGTGCTGCAACAAATAAGATCCCGAGCAAGCCCTCGGGAAATAGATCCCTGTCGCGGGTTTGCTAGCGCGCTTCATAATATATGCCTATGTGACAAGTCTGTGTGATTTACACACCAATGAATCACACAAAACTTAAAAACATTCCTTAATTGTTGATTTAGATTTTAAAAATGAAGACATAGATTTATTATAGTTTGCAGCTAAGTGTAAAGTTTCAGGCTAGTCACGATCTAGTTGACAATTGCGCTCAAGGTAAATTGTACACGCCTCCTAACTGGATGCTTTTCGACTGGAACTTTCTTCTTATCCCTGATTGATTGCTCGTGCAACAGACTATTTCCGTGTCAGTGTTGAAAATTTGAGTTGACCAATCACGTGAATTGTTTACGCTGGATGCATCTGACGAAAAAGATCGTGACATAACGTAAAACTTTACACTTAACTGCAAACTATAATAGATTTAACGAGGAATCGAGGACTCCTCTGACAATTTCAATAGTCCTCGCCCACTGACGTCAAACACAAAGGCAGCCGCACGAGATTCACATGCATATTTGGCCTCCTTAGCGTCAGACAAAGAGACAGATGCGCACGAGATTTGCATGCATAGTAGGCCTCCTTAGCTCTTGACCTATCGACCTTCCTAAGCATTCCGGTAGAATTATCAAGAAATGATCAACTCCGCTAACTTTCAAGGAGTTATCACAGAGAGAAAAAATAAATGGAAATATTAGAAGATAAAAATGCCATGCCAAACGGGAGAAAAAATTAGAAAATTTTATGTACAGAATGTATTTAAGATTTTATGTATTTAAAGTTAAAATTATGTTTATTATTCAGACACTGCATGATATTTATATATGTATTTAAGATTATATGTATTCAAAGTTAAAATTTTATTATTCAGACACTGCATTACTTAGTATAACTATATATTTTGAAGTCTAAGTCCTCTTCTTGTACTAGTCTTGACCTTTAGGTACAGAAATGTACATGTACAAAGTTATTAACCGCTAAAATGGCGATTCCTGCCAACGAAATAAAGCCGAATAAAGCTTGCTGAATTAAAACAAATGCAGAACATTATTAATATTTATAAACAGCACTATGCACAGTCTGACATGGACATTATTCTGAAAATGGCTAACTCCACATGCATTACAGTCCTTGCCATATTAACAACGTCTCTGCCTAGCATGCCACGCATGCGTTGAAAACAACACAGTTCCCCCAAAAGGATTTCCAGCACAGTGCTCAGTGCTCGCATGGATGTAAAATCAGCAATGTCTACTAAAGCATGCAACATATTTGTTGAATATAAGACCGTCTTTGTAAAACATGCCGAAAGTTGCAAACATTCCATATTCCAGAGACTTGACACAAAGTCCAAATCAAATACAAACGATACTGTCAATATGTCCATCTTGCCAAAGACTCTTGATGACTAAACATCTCTGCCGTTTGCATCTTGACCTACAATGAAGAACATATTTAGATTTTTAGTTTTTGCAAGCTTTAAAGGCTTAAACTTTTGGACAAGTGGTATACTCCCCAAACAAAGAGAATTTAAAACAAAGAGCTTATAACTATTGCCTATAGATAAACCGCAACGTTATAATTTCTACACCTACGCATTTTTTTTAAGAAAAAAAAGTAATAAAATGATCAAACTCAACCAGCAAATTAGACACAAGTCATTAGCTCTACCTACCAAGAATACTGTCCTCTTTAGTAGATGTAGAAAGAGGAGTTCAAGTCCTGACTCTTGGAGACTTTGTGCTGTCTCTGTTTTGGTACGTCACGGCGCACTGCTCTGTGCTTAAAGTTGACTCTAGCCAACCACTCCATCTGTATAGAAAAATCACTACGTAAAATTTCACTCTTAATCACTCTTAATTACTTTCAATTGCAATTACAAAACAGGACTCAGGTTTTAAGAACAGTACGGGGGAGGAGGGGGAGGGGTCTTTATTCGCTCTGCAAATAAGAATTTGCAACGTTTTATATTTCTGAGAAGATAGCCAAAATGACACTGGAGCACCAAAACCTTGCTAATTTAAAAAAATTGACAAAATAATCTTAAAACTCCACACTTAGCCAAAAAATACATACATACAAACAATGGCATGCGAAATAGCTTTTCGTTTTTTTTTCGGGGTGGGGTGGGAGGGGATTTAAAGAAGGTATTGCGTTTGAATACCGAGTATTTTTATTTTTCAGTGGATGACATTTTTTTCCTTTTTTTAAAACTTCCTCAGACCTACACCCATTCATGATTGAAATGCCAGATTTTTTCAAAATCTAAAATTTCTGCCATAAGTTTAAAAAAGTTTTAAATGAAATGTTTTTGAGTACTCTTTCGAATTATGCGACACTAACCTGATGCGTAGGTTGTGGTATGGTGGGAAGTTCCCTACGCTCCTCAGACTTGTTGATGGCACTGGTCAATTTACGCTAAAAACATTAAAGAAGTCATTCAACAAGATATTACCTTTGAAAAGAAAACACGTTTAAGAATTTATGCTGCTATAAAAGAAAGTGATTATTTCTAGGATATTTATGTGCATTTACATGTAGTGCTAGTGTTGGATTTACAAGTAAAATGCTTCCACTCAGATTCTTACCCAGTCTTCAATATGCTCTACCCATCCATGAGCAGCAGAAGTAAAGACTGGCTGACACTAGAGAGAAATGACAGAGGTTACTACTGAAGAGAGAGAGATATGCAGATTTCGCTGCCAGAGAGGGAGAGAGAGAGAGAGAGAGACTTACAGCAGATTTAGCGGCCAAACTCAGCATCACCTCGTACCACTGCTTGTCATCTGAAGAGACCTCTACACGGCGCTAAATATAACAAAAGTCCCGATATTACACATACTTCAAGCAAAAAAAAAAATGTTTGTCTCTTTTTATTATAAATACTCAATCTTAAAGCTTTTTATTATATTAAGTTGTTTTTTTTTTCTTCTTCAGTGAAACGATTATTTTGAAAATTTTCCCATATTTTTGCTATGGTATACATGATAAATAATTGCATTGAATAAAAATTATAAAGATATGCCACAAGCCACAAGATTGAATGTAAGGGGTGGGGGGTGGGGGTTCCTGTCCACACGTACAGTGAATTCAAAGCTACAATAGATACCCATTCTGAGAACTAGATACTTAAGAAATCCATACAGAAAATGACTAAATGCAAGATGTCACAGAATTTCAGAATTCTTTAACAAAATGTAATCATATTTCATACTCTAACCTGAATCATAGTTTTATGTCTACCATTATATATATTTTATATCTATAGACACCCCTCTTCCAAGCCAACCTAATTTCCATTGCCTGATTTACGTTGATTTTCTTAATCACATACAGTATGGTGTGTATTTGAAATATTTTTGATTCACATTGAATATTACATGTCAAGGTTTAAAAAAAAATATCGTAAAATCAAATATTTTTGTAGGGTCAAATTTTCGACTTTGAGGGGAAAATGGTTTGTGGGGATTTGATTTCGTGGTTGGAAAATGTTTAGTAGTAATGCATATGAAATTTTACATTTCACGGTGGTCATAAATTCATGGTCTCTCTAATCCTCCAAAACAAAGAAAATTAAACCCCCACGAAAATAAGTGATTTCGTAATAGTAACCCCCCCCCCTCCAGTAATGAGAAATATGTCGTGTCCTTTTAACTACAGGGGTTTCAGTGAGTAAATGTTTTATATTTTAATGCATTACCCTCTTAGACACACTTTGGCTTTTTCTCTCTGAAGATCTTTGCCTTTTCATTGTGATATTTGCAATTTGTATCGCTGTGTGTAAATAAACGTCTACTCTCTACCGATCGAAGTGAGTAACTAACAACGGTAACCACAACGCAACGCTCCCTTGTTGTTACCAAAGTGTGACGTCATCTCAAATAACAACATAAATTAAAAAACAGCGTAAAATAAATGAAGTTTAAAATTTGCTTACCTTTTAGGTTTCAGGCTTTACACTTTTCACTAGTCTCAGACCAATTCCACGAAGCCGTTATAAATTGAAATAGTGGGAAACTAAATGTGATGTGACGTCATAATCAAAAAGCGTCATCATATGTCGATTTATTATACCCCCCGCTTGAAAAGTGGGGGTATATAGTAATCGGTATTTCCGTCCGTCCGTCCGTCCGTTCGTCTGTACGTCCGTCCGTCCGTCTGTCCGTCCGTCTGTTACGCTTTTTTTTGGAACAGCTGCCAAACACCTCGGCGTTTTCGTAAAGTACCTTTGGTTAAATTTTCATCTCTTATCCGCAACTCCTCTCATACCACTGAATGAAATTTGATGAAACTTTCACAGAATCTTTATTACATGTTGCCATTGTGCACCTCCTATTTTACTTTTTGATCCGACACATATTTTGGGTTTCCCGGCCACAGGAAAACATGGACTTTTTCACCAGTTATAACCATATGGGAGGCGGGGGGTATCATTTAGTGAGCTCATCGCTCACAGTACCTCTAGTTATACCCCCCGCTTGAAAAGCGGGAGGGTATATAGTGATCGGGATTTCCGTCCGTCCGTCTGTCCGTCCGTCTGTACGTCCGTCCGTCCGTCCGTCCGTCTGTTACGCTTTTTCTCTTATCCGCAACTCCTCTTATACTACTGAGTGAAATTTAATGAAACTTTCACAGAATCTTTATTACATATTGCCATTGTGCACCTCCTATTTTAGATTTTTATTCGACACGTATTTTAGGTTTCCCAGAGCAAAACATGCACATTGCCATTTTTTGTTTACCTATGACGTCACATAATAGAAGCTTCTGGATAAAATTTCATAGGACGAGTTATTCCTCTTTACACATTACCGTAAACAATATAAAGCAACACATCGACATTATGGGAGGCGGGGGGTATCATTTAGTGAGCTCATTGCTCACAGTACCTCTAGTTTATGGTAATCCTCGGCTACCTTCGCATCGCATGTTTGGAAGGGAATTTAAAATTGAAAGTACACTGATGGTGAAATGTGATAACCAGTTGCTATTATTTGCAAGCATTGGTAAATGTTGGTGACCTAATATGCCGCTGGTTACCATCTGATGAACTCTACCATTGGTGAATTTGAACCGACCGCCGTTCGGATTTGGTTACCATCAGTAAACGACGGTAATCATAGGACACCAAGTTATACCATTTGTAATAAATATTCCCTGTAGAACTATGAACAATTTTTGGTCTAATTCAAACAAATGACAGCATTTGGTTACAACTAGTAGCCATTTATAAAAATATGAAACGGTAAAATAATACTTCTCATAGGCATGATATGATTTTACAAAAAAAAAGGTCAATCATATAAATATTGTTTATTGTCTCTATACTTAAAATAATAATTTTTGTTTTCTGGATCAAGAAAGGTCTCTCTATTAATAATGTTCTATTTTTAGTGTCTCCAGTAATGTGGCGTCGTAAAGAACACGCTAGCAGTTGTCATTTGTTCCTCTAATGCGATGTGACAGTTTTGCAATAAATAGAATTGGTTTTGATTGACAATATCTATGTTGTTTTTGGAGACCAGGTCTTCCAACAATCTATTGGAATTCCCATGGGTACCAATTGTGCCCCGTTATAAGCAGATCTATTTTTGTATTCAAATGAAGCAGATTTGTGTAAAATCTTATTCGTGAAAAGAAGAAAACACTTGCTGTGGCTATATATCGACGACGTATTGTCAATTAACAATGGTAATTTCCATTCTTATGTCCGACAGTCGATACAATATATCCTGGTAAGCTTGAGATAAAAGATACCACAGAGTCTGAAAAATGTTTCATATTTCGATATTTTACTTGAAAAAGACGTTAATGGTAATCTAACAACCAAGCTCTATGTGATGACTTTAACTTTTCTATCCTCAACTTCACCCCTCATCACCTGCATATGGGGTTTATATACATCGTGTGTCTCATTTTATTCGATACGCAAGAACATGCTCTACGTATGAACAATTTCTAAGACGAGGTAAATTATTGACAAACAAGTTGATGAAACAAGAATAACAGCTGTCTCGTTTAAAGTCGTCTTTTCGTAAGTTCTATGGTCAATACAATGACCTTGTCAGCAAATACAATTTATCATTGAGTCAAATGGTGACTGACGTTTTTCGTACTAATTGTTAGTCCATTATTTATACACTGAATTGACGACGGTGTGACCGGTCGGCAGGAGATGCTCACTCCTCTATGGCGCCTGACCCCACCTCTGATGTTTTGGAGGTCTGTGTTTGCTCTGCTCCTGCTTTGTATGAAGGTTTGATCTTGAATACTGTTCGTTATCGACATATGTTTCATTCTTGTATTGAGACACCATGGATTATGTTTAATCCCTGTGTACGCTTTTTCGTGGGTTTGTTACATGTATTGAAAACTATGGGTTTGTGTTTAACTTCTGTGCGCTTTTTCGTGTGTTTGTTACAACTTACACGTAAGTGTAAACGAAAATCTACTTACTTAGTGATGAAATGTGAAAAATTCAACCTTTCTTGAAATAAAAAATTGTATTTCTTTCAAGAACTTGTGCAGTGAACAACGAAGTGAAGCATTAAAAAAGAATCATTAATTTTGACGCAAATGTTTTGAAACAGATACTCATACTTTGCGACTACTTCATACTCGGACCTAACTATAATTACTGGAGGTAGAATCGTCCTATGGATCTACCTGGTATAACGTACCATTAAAATCATTATTCAAATCAGCTAAGGATGTTAATTCTTCTGTAAAAAGATAAATATGAGGTAGGAAAACATCATGCAGCGTGATGTCTTGTCACGAATTTAAAATTCTACGTATTAAAGAATGGGTCTGTTGCTGTCCTTTCCGTTGTAAAGATGCATGATAGGTGTTTATTTCAAGTAATAATATGTCGCTCTGTACCTTATGGAGTCAAATTCTCAAAATAAGTATGTAGTTACACAATGCAGTTTTAAAAATTAAATAGCGTGAAATAGAGAAATATTCCCAACACTAGCGTTTCATTGCAAAATATTTGGAAATCTAAATAGAAAGTTCTATATGGTAAACGAGGATTTTCATGTCCAGGTTAAAAAACTAGATTCACGTTCAATAAAAATGCTATTTGCAATTGAAGACCCCAAATCGTTCCGAGAAATTATAACTTAAAAAACATTTTAAAATACAACAGCACGATTTCTGTTTCACATTTATTATAGTATCATTCCTCTATGCAAATATAAACCTACACAGGGGGGTTTCCTACACCCCGATCTTCAGGTTCCATGATTCGAGTCAACTTGATACTTGGGCTACATCCAGAAGATTACCTAAATAATGCAAGTTTAAACTATATAGAATTGAGTTTTATCCACATTGTTAAGAATTCTGAAAATGAATCCCCTTTGGGGCCCCATGCTGGGAGTGTATTTTGTAAAGTTTGAATTTTTAATTATAGAGGCCGAACAAATTTGATACACAAACTTTAATTGCTGGAAAAAAAGGGAAACATGAAAAAGTCAAAATTAAATGTTTATCTTAAAATTTTGCAAAATTATTTATTAATAGCTCATATATGTTGAGATGGGGTGTCAAGCTGTTAATATTTAACATGAAAATGTAATGATTCTACATGTAGTTGTAATATTTAGCATTTGACACACGAATAAACGATTACTTGTACACACATTATACTTGTCGATTATCAATAAAATGCCATGAACTTGCGATTTTTTTTCTACAGAATAGGACAGTCCTTTTTCTTTTCATTTTGATATTGCAGTTTACAATACTAAAGGATCCTCCTCTAATTGAAGGAAGTCATCGAAAACGCTCAGTTTAAACCGATACAGGCTACTGACATATAAGTTGGTGATGCTTTCAAATACATTTATTTCGTTTAAAATTAGCACTTCGTAGATTCTTTGGTCGTTATATTACTTTGTTTGCAATTGAACTAATGGTTTATGTCTTTTTAGGCTTTTGACTTGCAATTAAAACTAATTGTTGGGTAATTATTTTCATAGCATGTTCTCTTCAGATCACTCCATTTATCTGATTAATATAGAGGACCTCCAGTGTGACCAGTCGATGTAGGATGCTTACTCCTCCTGTGCATATGATCCAATCTTGGAAGCTTTCAGCGTTTAGTGATTTAGCCCGTTTCTCCATTCGTATCAAACTTAGAAATGCACAACAGAAAAAGAAAACAGTAAAGGCGTTGCACTAGGATGGGGAACAACAGAATTTGCATCAGAACACTAACACTATACATGGCATCCAGAAGAAAAGAAAAAAGTGGACCAACCAAAATCAACATGGAGGAGGTCTACCAGTTAAGTAGGAACTGTTACAAGTGTCCATCTAACACATTGTATGTTTCAACTTTTCTGGCCCGGTGGTTCTTGAAAAAAAAAAGATGCTATTAAATTTTTACTAATTCTTAATTATAAAATTTATGTTTTCTCGAAACAGGACTTGACCTTTCAAGAATTTATTTATCGAATCATCAGTAAGGGTATCCACAGGTCTATTTATAACGTGACTATCAAAGGGTACATCGAAGGCTTCCTTTCCGCTATACAGTATACATGTAACAAATGGACTGCAAAGTTCATAGATAATATTCAACTTTCCTTAGTTTTTTTTTTAATTTCATGTTGGTTTATGCACACACCCTCACACATTGTGAAGCCACATTAGCACAAGTACAGGTACTGAAAAATTAAATACCTCGTTTACATGTGACAATTTCAAAAGTTCTTGATGTTGTTATGTTACATTATTTGGTTTCTTTCCAAACCAATCAAATTTTTTATTACACTCAAAGTATAAAGCTCCAGTAGTTTAGTCAGAATGAAAAAGAGTAGTCCTGTTCAACCAAACGCCTGTTTGTCTCACGGTCTGGTTAAAAGAATACTCAGTAGTACGGATAGTACATGTACATATCCTAGACCAGGAAGTTGAAATGGGTTGTCACTGAGGCATGATGTTAAATTCTTATCGTTTTTTCTACTTTTATAAAATCAGTAGTGTTTTATTGCATATTCTAACTTGCATGTACTTTGCTGTGCTAGAATTTCTTTTGAAAAAATATTACTCCAAAATACATTGAGCCAGACACGCATAGGCGTCGGAAGCAAAATGAAAGGGGGGCTAATTGAAAAGGGGGGGGGGAGGGGCTAAACCAACAAAAGAATTCAAAGGTAAACCCCAATTTTCAATGCCTATATTATGTATATTTGCAAAAAGGTGGAGCATTTATGTTTATGAAACCTAACTACTTAATTCAAAATGATAAAATACTGTCGAGAGATGTTCAGTTCCGTTGAGCATGTTATTACATTTATCAGAAATATTATACATGTATCAACAATTTTTAAAGAGGTACTCTCGAGTTACGAATTCTTCTCTCCCTTTCCGCTTGCAGCAGGTCAAATTTTCAGGTAAAGTGGTAATTTATCCGGATTTTCTGAAAATAATATTGGTTTTAAATGTTAAAATTCTATCCCTCAAAGCTCAACAGATTTAAGGTATGCCAGACAAACTGGAGTAAACCGATCCTATAGTTTTTTTTTTTGCTTTGCATGGACATAAAATTTACTTATTTGATATTACTTTTCTGTAGTGTCATCATCTTACAGGTTTGTTTCGTGTCTCAGTCGTTAAAAAAAGACGCATACACAGAAATGTAAATGGAACAACATTTAACTTTACGACCACCAATGGTACTCTATATACTGACATAAGTCATGCCATGGGTCATTCCATTTAATGATGGAGTGGCCGAAAAAGCAATGAAGATATGGTTTGAAACTGATTATATCAAAAAATGTGAAGAGTAAATTAAAATAATCTGAGTGTAAAAATCATAACCCCCGGGGGAAGGGCGGGGCCGCAATTGGGAATCAAAGTTTTACATAAAAATATATAGGAAAAATCTTTGAAAATCTTCTCAGGAACCACTGGGCCAGAAAAGCTGAAACTTATGTGGAAGCATTCTGGTATAGTGTAGATTCTAAATTGTAAAAATCATGACCCCCTGGGGGAAGGGCGGGGCCACAATGGGGAATCAAAATTTTACATAGAAATATATAGGAAAAATCTTTAAAAATCTTCTTCTCAAGAACCACTGGGTAAGAAAAACTGAAACTATGGTGGAAGCATCCTGAGGTAGTGTAATTTCTAAATTGTTCAAATCATGACCCCCAGGGAAAGGGCGGGGCCACAATTGGTAATCAAAGTTTTACATAGAAATATATAGGAAAAATCTTTGAAAATCTTCTTCTCAGGAACCACTGGGCCAGAAAAGCTGAAACTTATGTGCACATGGAAGGATCATGGGGTAGTTTAGATTTCAAAATGTCTAAATTATGATCAGTGGGGTAGGGTGGGGATGCATTATGTATTACAATGGGGAAATCTGGTAAAGAACAGAATGGTCAAAGCTTCTCAGGTGAGCGATGTGGCCCATAGGCCTCTTGTTTAGTAATAACAAATGAAATAAATGTGCTAGTTTGTTATTACAAGTGCTTTGCATTTAATTTGTGATTTTGGTAGTTGATAGTTTTTATCACTACAATGTAAGAATTTGTCCTTGCTTGATATGAAATGGATATCATTGGTATATCATTAGTGGACGATATTGCTAAATGCAATAGTCTACATTTTATTTTGCAACAAATAGAAAATGTTAGTAACAATAAATGGATTTCAGGCAATGGTTTTATAACATGGTTCTTATTATACATGTATTTTGTGGTTATGGAAGAAAATTACAAATATTGCAATCATCTGAACTTAATTTTTTTGCCATTGATACTGGTCAAGACCTTTAAATGCCAGGGTACACAACTCTCAATGTGAAAATTTTTTTCTCTCTAAAGTAGTGATACTACAGTATTTGTCAACCATTGTAGTTCATATATCATAGGAAGAATTTCCACTGAAGGACAATTCATAACATTGAGTACCCATGCACTTGGTCATTATTGCAATTTAAAACACTTTTTTTGCAAGCTAGAATGAAACCAAGTCCTTTAAGATCAAGCCGATACGAGCAATGTAGCATAAGATCACAAAATTATATTATTAATTTATTATACACACTCTTATTACATTACTCTGAGACTACTATTTTACATTTCTTTAGCTGAATTCGTTTCCGTTTTAGATATTCTAATACCCAGTACTATACTTTTCATCGATTCAACTTCTAAAGAAAAAACGTTTTTTTGATAAGTTTTTATGTTAAATGGTTGGACAATGCATTAGAAACATGCACCCCTCTCCATATGTATGTATTTTTATTATGTATACTAGCATATATATTGTAGTAGGTCACAGTGAACAGCTCCTGGTCGTTGAAGCAACTGAACTCATTGGATAAAGTGCAGAAATTTTGTATTGAAATTCTAAGGGTCGGGTACCTTTGCTAATTACTCATCTTTTGTAAAGTTATCTTGATCCATCCGAAAACAGGGATCTTTTTGTTTAGGTTTCACTGCCCTGCGTTTTTGTAACCTTCAGAATACAGTAACCGTGAGCCATTTTTCTACGCTTCCTTTCACCAAGAAAAATTCATTATACTAAATAAATATACCATGTATTTCTAAAATCATGATTGTTTTTAGTACATGTTAAGTTGCACATACATGAATATAGTGTGTATGTAAATGGGTACCTTTTTATGAAAACAATGATTGCGTAAATCGATCCTGCGCCATGATGATTTTATCGATATTGCATTAAAATAACACTTTGCACAGTTCTGCTGAATGAGCCTCTCTAGCTTTTTAAACATGAAACCTTACCCCTGTCATATGTCCTAAACCCAATGCGCAGTTACCCAAGCATAAACGTGGATATTGTAATTAGGGCGGGAAGCAATCCTCTACACTTCATCCTGCGGACATCAAGGGGGGAGTAAAATGGATCGCCCGCGGGACCTTTTACTTTTCCTTTTACTTTTGCAGGTCAGTATTTCATTTAAAACAAATTTCCTTTATTTTCACTTTATGACGGTATTGATATATAGGGCGTGGTAATGTGTAACCCTCGTATTCAGTTTATTACAAAGTTCAAATAAAATGACAAGATTCTATATATTGATATTGCCTTCTTTTTTAAAGTGTGACATCTGTGAGAAATCAATGGAAGCTTTTTTCTCTGGCATCTAAATAACGGTGTAAACCTATTCAAATATGTCCTGTTGTTTTCCATTGAATATGGTACTATTTAACTCTAAATTAAGCAAAAGAAGTGTATCTTGCTTCTGAATGCCAGTGAATGGTAGATTTTTGATCAGAATGCATTTTCCTTATTTTCATTCTGAAAAATGTTCCTATTAAAGTCAATAATTTGACCGCTTGCAGAAAGTTCCGTTTACTTTTGGGGTTTGGTTCCAGTGAAGTGTGACAAACTTCCTGGTTCCAGAGAATGGTTGAATCAGTCTTTGAGTATAGTACAAACAGTTGAATGCATGACGACCATACTATGCACCTATTGAGTAATGCAGTCCTAAGATCACGAAGCTTAGCAGTAAAAAATCAAGAATTTAACCATGGTGTGAAAAAGTTTCAGTTTTAGTTAACTTCTCACACCTTTTGTGGGGTTATAAAACTTTTAGTTTTATGTTGTTTTCCAAAAAAAAATGGTGGCTTAATGGTCATAGAACACAAAGGTGCTGAGAGAACCTCTTTTTAAAGAATACTTTGTGTTCAATGATAAATGTTTATTGGGTATGGTCATGGTATGTGCCTTTGATATTATCACAATGTATTGGGTGTGTCGACAGCTGATCGGATGAGCAGTCATCGCGCAAGGCTCTTCATCCGTCCCAGGTCATCGCCACCCTCGTAACACGACACGTTTACCTTTATTACGAATGGAGTATGAAAAAAGTACAGCGTGTAATACAATGCAATACCCAGATATGGTTGACCTGTAAAAAGTATATATAAAACATATAAAGTTGCAATATTCCATCACATTAATACAAGTATTTATAAATATTTACTTGGATGAGAATCAAATTATTCAAATCGATTGTTAGTTTCAAAATTCATTTTTTTTCATTCGAAGATTTTATTTCACATATGTCGATATCTATATAACCTAGATTCATAAACTAGTTCCCTATTATTTGATCCATTGTTGGTCTTTTAAGTTTAATATGGATTCTTGAAAAACTAAACCAAGTGACGTTAGTATGAAAAGTCATAATAGAAGTATGAAGTAGTAGAAGTGAACGACCCCCCCCCCCCCAATATGTTTTAAATGTTTTGGAGAGTATACTTTTTATGCCCCCGTAATCAAGATTCGGGGGTATATAGTTTTGCCCTGTCCGTCCGTCTGTCTCTGTCTGCCTGTCCACAAAACTTTAACCTTGCCCATAACTTTTGATTGCATGGTTGAGGATATACAGCTTTATTAATTCACATGTGTATCCCTTGTGACAAGACCTTTCTTTGGGTACCATCGAATTTAATCTTTTGACCTTGACCTTTGGGTCTGATCCAGTTTTGCAAAATTTCACCCAACTTTAACCTTGGTCAAAACTTTTGAAGGGTTAGTGGTAGGGCTTTAATAATTCACATTATTTTGATGTAAATTAAGTTTTGTAATCATTCTAACAAGGCTTCCCTTTAGATATCAACAAATATAACCCTTTGATCTTTTGAGTTTTTTTTTTTGATTTTCAACAAATTTCTAACTGGTCTAGAATATTTGTACTGAGATTGACCCCCATAAAAATCCTGGATCCGCATCTGAATGAGTCTCCATCTCCCGGAAAAAATAATTCAAAAGGCTTTTCATTATTTTGATGTATATACTCTTGATTTTTTTTAGATTGGAACAAAAGAAGTCCTCGGCCACAGCAATGAAGGCGAAATGGGTGACATTAAGATCAAGTGTCCAAGTGGTATGTATCTAACTCTTTTTACCGACTCCTAATATATGTAAATGACTGTATAAAACAGAACATAGAGTATAGTCTTTCAATTTGTCATTGGTATACTAGTATATACCAATCGATAAATTTAAAAGCAATTTTAAATTCTAAAATCTAAACTTAGATCTATTGTATATTTCAACTGGTCCCTTTTTGCAGGGGCAGTTTTAATAAGATTTTTCTCGGGTGTTGGGGTCCACATGTCAGACTTGAATTTTTTTTACCATGCCAAAAAATGTATAATAATACACGTAATAAAATATTAAAAATATGAAAAATATATATCTTCAAATAAATGACTCCCAATTGTTTTTAGAGGAGTCCGTGTTTCCTAGGTGAGTCCAAGGTATAAATTTCCGTTATAATTTCGGGGGTGGGGGTGGGTGGGTTTCCATACACTCTCGATTTGCCTCTGTTTTGCTTGATTTCCTGTTTGACAAAGGATGCTCTACATGTATAGTAGTATGCTCTTAAAATAAAACGCAACTCCACGTTTGTCACGGTGCCTACTTTGAGGATTTGTCGAATCAAAACGCTTCTTTACAGAACAGGTAGAACTGTTTTCAGGATGTGCTATGCTGTACATGGATTGACCTTTGTCATGTTTTGAGGTGCATCTCTTTTAACGGTTTTGGTTTACATGAAATTGATGAATTGACTGAACATCAGAAGGTGTCCTAAACACCGTTTAATTCGATTATGCACGATTACAACTGCCATTTAAAGCTCATGCACATTTTGTTCAGATATTTTGTAACGTTAATTTGCCATGTAGCTTACCTGTTCGGTCTTTCTTGGCGGGCTCATAGCAATTTGACAATGAATGTCGCTGTTTTAAAGCTCTAGGGACACAAAATGCTTAAAATGCAGTAAATTTTCGTCATTAGATACCCCAAAGAACACTTCTTATGTTAATTTCCAGTTAAGTTTTCGTGCAATTTTTATAAAAAGGTTTTTTTCCCAAAACGAAACCTGACTACAATATATGTTTACATTGTTCGATTTATTTTCCGAAGTTTATCATCTAATTTGTAAATCAAAACCGACATCAACTATTCCACCGCAAAGAAATTCAATTTCTTTTAAATTGAAAAACAAACCTTATGAGCTCATCTTTTACCTTTCCAAACGTTGTCCTTAACACATCATTTCAACAAAATTCATTTCTATACTATGATATGTGCATTCTAGCGGGTCCTAGGGTAGGTGGGGTTCCTATGTTAATCAACCAAGAAAAATAAATGTCTTTTAAGATATGCTGGGAAAAAATAAAAAGTTTAAGAAAGCTTTAATATTCCATCTTTAGCATTTCACCTTAAAATTGTGTTCCTTTAAGGGCAACCATATAAAAGAAAGTGGGCTTACATAGCCTTAATCTGCTGCCTAATCCCATTGAATAAAATATGATTCAATATCATATGGTTATAAAAACTTTCAACCGTTTCTCATATTAAGTAACTCTTTAAAATATGTTTATGTATAAATCCCCTTTTGATTTTTTTACAGGAGCATTTTTCTACCAGGGTTATTGCTTCATGGTGGGATCAGTTCCGATGACTTGGGAGGACGCCATGACATCCTGTCTCAGGTACTAGTATGTTCTTTCGAGGTTTCAGCACTATGACCCACATTATTCCAAGGGGCTGTTGGTTGATTAATTTTTTCTGAATTTCGGTGAACATAGAATATCGATCACTATCTTAAATTTAAAATAATGTCACATTGTGTAATAAGAACTTATATCAATATATTATTATGAGCTAGTTTCGGAAGTGTTAGCTGATATAACCCACTGGGCGTTTTTTTTTGTGTGATGAAAATTGATGTTCTATAGTAAACAAATGTGGACATTTCAGGGAAAAATGTGTATCTTCAAAAACTTTTTAAATAGCCCAGTTTTATTTTAGCGGGAGAGGCATGGGCGTCGGAGGCAAATTGAAAGGGGGGGGGACTAATCTAAAGTGGGTGGCTAAACCAACCCAAAAAGGTAAATCCCAATTTTCATTGCCTTTATAATATCTATTTTTGCAAAGAAAGTGCCCCCCCCGGTTCCGACGCCTATGATCTGAGGTCATACATTTATAATACATTGCATGTCACTCCAGGCACGTAACAAGCTCATGTTCAATGAAAGGCTGGTTGTCCTTTCTTGCTGCAGCATAGTGAAATAATGGTAATATAGAAGTATAAGAATAAAAATGTTTTATTGCATGATTTACTGATAAAATGATACAGCTCATTACTTGTTTGCATGTAATTAAGTCCTAGCCAAATACAAGAGAGAAGCAGAATTAAAATGTAAATAAACCTTACCAGTTGTATCAATATGAAATGTGTTTTTTTTTTTTATCTATTTTAGTTGCCATGAAAAAAAATATAATGTCAATCTTTTTTATAGGATAGATTTAGAAAGGAAGTAATACAATCAACTGACAGCGGAAAAAAAAGTAAAAAAAAAAAAAATGTTGTTCAGTAAAGTGTTAGAGAGGGTTCCTGCATCCCTTTGAACCACCCTCACCCGAAAATACCTTATATATATTCGCTTATGTTTAGTTCACATGTCATAGTCGTTTTAATAGCTTTCCAAAACAATTTGTCTCAATTTAAAATTCCCAGATCTATGTTTGGATCAATGTAGAGGAAATAAACCCTTGTAATTACCTGGAACGTCACGTACAGGTAAACATAACGTAGTATTTCTTCCACATAGTTGGATCTCAGCCAATCAGAAAGGTAGGAATTATTTAATCATATAATAAAAATGTGCAGTTAATTTAAATACAGGTAGCAGTGTACCTTAAACTGGACTGGGTTATACACGATTCAAACTGATTTATATAGTGCATCCCCCAAAACATACAAGATTGGGTAATTCATAAACATCATGTACTCTATATTGCAAATAATACCCCTTCCCCGATTTTTTTAAAATTCAGCACATCCATACAATTTGGGTTTTCTAATAAAAGATAAATATGTACAAATGCATTTACCTAAATACTGTATGTGATGTACTGCGTATTATTATTCCAGTAAATATTCTTCTTATTTTTACATCGTATACTTCAATCAAGTTTAAAAATTTGATCATAAATAGGCTGATCATTAATCAACTATAATTGACTTTTGATTGATTGATTTAGGAATAGGGCATCCCTCAATAAATGTCCACTAAATTGTTACAGATTAGTCATGTTTTGCAAGATTAAAATATCCAACTAGTATATCACACCTTTAGAAGATCCATTAAAAGTATGCAGTTACCAACATTTTTTTTTACCGTTTTATTTTTAGATCTGGGATGTATCTTAGCTGGATAGAGGACGCTATAGAAAACAATTATGTGGCGACCCATGCGATGTCTCGCGTCAGCCAATATTGGATAGGTATGTGTTTGTAATATAGTAAAACGATTAATTATTAATGGACGAAACCAGGCAGTTTGAGTCTTGAGTCCCCCCTCCCCGTTGCTACGTGCCTGTATAGACTTTTCGATCATCTCAAATTCAAGACCAGGAGGGCTTTTAAAAATTATAAAGAATGTTTTGTTATAGAAACAGCAAACGAATAATTATGTTATGAGCACATATTTAGTAATATTTTGAGATGGAAATTTGAAAAAAAACATGGATCAAATAAATCGAGAAACAGCGCACTTTTTGTATGCAGTAAATACAGTAAGTACAGATTTTTTTTTCAGTGGGTGGCACTGTATATATTTTTTTCGGAGAGCTACATTTCTGCAGCTAATAAATAAAATGCTATTTATCACGATGAAGATAGACGAAAAAAAATGAAGTTCTATTGACGACATACTGAGAAAAGAACTTTTTTTTTTTTAGCAGGGACCTATATATACCAGTTAGAAAATAGGTCCCTGATTTTAACACAGAATGATATTTATCACGATGAAGATAGACGAAAAAAAATGAAGTTCTATTGACGACATACTGAGAAAAGAACTTTTTTTTTTTAGCAGGGACCTATAAATACCAGTTAGAAAATAGGTCCCTGATTTTAACACAGAATCGTTCAAATTTCTCTTATCGTAAAATGCTGAACAAAATGATCATATATTTATGAAATTGTTAGAAAAAAAAATTACCTTTACAATGAAATAATATGATATTTGATACTCGAAATACTTCCAATCGGCAATCCTCGGCTGACTCCGCTACGCTCCATTATGTGCGAAGTACGAGTCATCCGAGGAATACTTTCTCTCCCAATGAATTTTGTTCGGGATCGGAATTCCAGATGCAGACGATTAGACTGCAACTGAGTGACCAAGCATCCGTGCAAATGTAAAATACAAACTTGCGAATTTTATAGTGTAAGGTTGGTCAGAAAGTAAGAAGCGTTAGACGACGCTTATAACTAACCACGATCCTCCAATGTTAGTCATCATGTTGCTCCAGCATTCTAACCGAGTATTAGGCCTAGCAGAAATTTCGCGGCGACATATTTTGGCGCCACGTAAGCACCCCCTCGTGCACGATCTTTCTGAGAACGGGGTATGATATATTCTGAAGCATGGGTGTCATTTGAACGAGTTTTTGTCATTTTATTGTTGAATCATATGACAGTTAAAATGAGTTAATGTTGGTAGCTGAAGAGCCCAAATGCATAATTGACTTTGATCGAGGCAGTTTTTTTAAACTTATAAATACTTGCATGTAACATTATTTATAGAGTAAAAATAACAGCTTCTAAAAAATATTGTCATTGAAACTTAATATTATAATATACATGTATGGTGTACATAACAGGCTTGTAGTCGTAGGAAAAAATGCAGTAAAACTTGTTTAGTACGAACATGGATATAGCAAATTCACGGATATACATGTACTATAGTATAGTTATCTTGGATCCCCAGCTAATTGTGAATTTAAGGTATTCCTTATACGGATATAATGAATTATGGATATAGCAAAGTAATTTTATAGGTCCTTGTGACTTCACTATTACTGAGTTTTACTGTACTGTGATACGTCTAATGTGATACTTAGAAGAACAAAATCAGCATACACCTGTTAACTGGTATTAGGCCTAGGCTAATATCACACAGCACCAGTGTTTTCCCTTTACTGCAGACATACTTTTTTCCATGGGGTCATAATTCCGCAGACTCTCAATTTCTGTTTAATTCGCGGGTTGAAAATTACGTGCATTTCTTAGACTGTCACTATATATGCTTGCATTTATATTAAATACGCTTGGACAAATTTCTGGGGAGAAATTGTGACCGCGTAAATTAATATGCGGAAAAAAGAACTTCTACAATATTTTAAAGTAAAGGGTTAAAGATCGATTGTTACAGGCTAAGGGTTGATGTTAATGAACAAAACTATGTTAACCTTACAACAAATTTTGATTTCTAGACGGCATTTTTATCAATCGAAGTGGTCAATTTGGTCATTAGCCGGTTCTTAGGGAAAACACTGCAGCACTATTAGAAAGTACAGGTGTATGCATCTTTTATTGCAGGTCTGTCAAACATGTCCTCAACAGCTGGCCAAAATGAAATTGTTTGGACACAGTACAGAATGATGAAGAACAAGGCTATGCCATTGGTTAAGGGGCTGTGGAAAAACTTGCAACCATCTGAGTTTGTAGGAGATTCTCAATGTGTTTCCACCCTGAGAGACAAGGACGATAACCATTGGACAGTGACAAATTGCAGAAAGAAGCTCCCATTCGTATGCAAGGTTTTGGGAGCCCCTAAATCTCCAGGTTTATACTCAGATTTTCTTTTCTTGTATGTGTCAGACTCACTGCTGAATTATAATGTAAGCAAAAGACTGTTGGACAGGGCCATCTTAGGCCAACATTAAAAAAAATTTGTTTGATATAATTTGACTGACCCATCAAAATCACCCTTACCCAATCATTTTTTTCAGCATTTTGAATTTTTTTTCAGTTTTCATGGTATAAGTTTTCTACGATGCTTTTTGTTTGAAATTTTTATAGCAGTAAAGTAATCTGTATAACTATCCAGTGTGTAATGAACACATCAATAAATTTCAGAATCTGTGGTTTTTGTGACATTTATAATTTTGTCCAATTCTGGAAAGCCACCCCCCCCCCCCAAAAAAAAAAACTATCTACCTACCTACCCACCTTGAAAAGTGTGTTTTAGAGTACATCAAATAAAAATATTTTTAATTATGGCCTTATTTTGAAGTTTATGACATTTAAAAACTAAAATTTATACCAGTTAGTAATTAAGTTTCAATAAAATCCTAAACCTTATGAGCAACCCAGCTTGTAAAGGCAGGTATTGTGTGTTAATTTATGAAATTTCATTTTACTTCAGATTCCTTGTATTGTGGAAATGGAGGTTACATAAACCAGAAGTGGCAATGTGATGGACAGAATGACTGTGGAGATATGTCTGATGAAGTGAATTGCAGTAAGGGGGACTTGTATAATGTTTCTTTTAAATACCATACATAATTTTCTTTTTCATATGTATGTCATTTTAAGCTTTAGATTAATCTCTTTTTTATTGAAGTCATTGTGATGAAGTGAAGGGTGAATTTGAAAGCTCATGAAAAAACAAAACAAAACCAAAAAAAATTAAATTTTTAATTCACAGGTTCTAGCTGCACAGAATTAAAGATTGTGCAAAAAGGTGGCTCTGGTACAATAACCATGACCAGTAACCCGCCATCGCCAACATATAAAAATGATGCTTTCTGTAGCTGGACACTAAAGGCTCCAATAGGTGTCAGAATAAAGGTTACAGTAAGTGTAGAAAATACTACATTATTTACAAATTATTGACATTATAAGCAAAAGTGAAATAAATTCAAATATCTTTGTTAATGCAGAGACATACCGTAAATCTGGAAATTTTTACGTCGATTTTATTTTGCGAATCTGGATCAAAATGCTGTTGATTAAATTTTACGTTTCAAAATTTTGCGAATGACCACTACTTTGTTTACATTTTCTTATTTTTGAATTATTTTTAAGAAAAATATTTTTGCGAATGCAATGAACTCGCAAATTTGCTAAAACTTTATCTACAGCAAAAATTTCCAGATTTACGGTATACAGTGTAAAACCATGTTATTAGCTCTAATGGTCAGAGACCAGACGAGCTTATGTGATAGTAAGGTGTCCGCTTTCCTTCCATCTGTCTGTATATAATTTTTCAAAATGCTACTCCTCCTACAGTTTTAATAGGTCTGATTTCAATCTAACTTGGCACACAAGACTGCACTAATTAAGATACATAGTTTAGTGCATCCGAATTTGATTTAGATGAATGCATGATGTTGCCTTGGTTACTAAAAATAGAATTTTCTGAAAAATTCTTTTAAATATCATACAGGTTTGGTCTGATTTCAATCTAACATGGCACACAAGTAGACTAAACCAAGATACATAATTTAGTGCATTGATTTTTCATGAAACACTTTTAAAATGCTACTCCTCCTACAGTTTTTTGACTGATTGTAATATAATGTGGCATGGAAGTAGACTACACTGAGATACATAATTGTCTAATTTGTTTTTTTTTTAATTTTAATGTATAAGGTTGTCACAATAACTTAGATTGAAATTTCTGTAATTTTTTTTGGAAAGGCTACTCCTCCAGTTGTAGCCTTTAAATATTGCATTCTTGCCATAAAAAGAAACTATACCAAGGATTGCTAGTTTTTCACTATTTTTTGCTGTAGCAAAATTTCAAGTCTAACTGCTACTTTTTTCCTTCGTTTGTTACAAGTACAAACCTGTATAGCTACAGTCATTTGATTCAGTTTCCAAGTTTCTGTTGATCATTAGTGTGGTTATGACTTTTATAGTCATAAAAGTTTATCTCATAGACACTAACATAGTAATACATGTTGTGACTAATATAAAACTGCGTTTGCCTGATTTAGATAAGTTCCAATCTGGAGGAAAATGCAGATATTTTAAGTGTGTGGACGGGAGGTATCACTTTAAAAGAGAGTAACTTCCTGGGCAGTGTAACGGGGAGCCCAGGGAAACAGGAATTCTACTCACAGAATAATTATCTTATCCTACAACTTAGCATGGATCACACAGTTATCAATGATGGATTTACTGCAAACTACGAAACAGGTGTGCTACATGTACTATGTGTTTAAGATTTTGTCCGTGTGTTTGCAGAGTGTATGTATTCTGGTGCCCAGTGATTATTCTTAAAATGCAAAGTTAACATCATTTATAAAAATTGCTGCATACATTATACTTTGCAAAGAAATGCAAAAAAAATATATGATAGAAAAATTAATACAATTGAGTTTTCAACATTCAACAATTTTAAGAAAATGAAATTCTAGTTCTTAATGTTGTAACGGGATAGCGCTTAATGGCTATCCCACTTCTGACACCAAAAATTGTAACGGGATAGTGGTTCTAGAAGTCTGAAGACAGGGGTTAACTTCTCTTGTAAACACTGAGTCAACAACACTCGAAACTCGAAATTTAAGTTTTATAGATTTATTGAGTCTGTAAAATCAACATGAACAATTTTAATGCAAAAAAAAAAAAAATAATAATAATATCCAGGTCTTTTAACCACCCTTTTTACTGACAAATACCACAATATTAATTAAATCCCAAATAAATAGCCGGATCTCAAAATAATCGAAATATAATGGCTAATATGACTAAAGTCCTATCTTTTAAACTTAACTATCAATGAATCAGAGATAATTAACAACTGGAAATTTAGATACGATCGGATCCTGAAATAATCAAGATATATGATCGTAAATAAACCCCCAAAGCTGTAAAAATTAAACTTTCCCCAATTAAATTAATCCAATATACCAAATTACAATATTAACTGATTTAACAATTAGCAAATAATTACCAATTTCGTCTAAAAGCTCGAAGTAATTACGTTAACCCTAACATAAAAAATAGCAGACTCCCCGATTTATGGAAGAATCTTCCCTTTTATACTCTAGTGAAAATTCATATACAAAACTCTTACGGATTCGTATAAATCCATACGCCTACGGAATATACGAAAAATACGGAAAATCTTATACGGAAAATAGTTCCATATAAATAATAATAATAATAGCAAGTATTTCACCATAAAATAACTTGACTCTAATTCATTCAACAATAATTAATTAATTAATTACCTTATAACTGTTCATTTTCACTTCTTTACAAAACCCCAAGGGCGTATACAGTAAATATATACTGCGGATCAAGAGAAAAATAAACCGGAAGTATACCATAATGCAATGCGCCGCCATGTAAATAGAAAAATAGACTGTCTGCAAGCCTACAACACATGTCTGCACAATTAATACAGGTAAAATACCAGTGAAAAATGTAATTTAATCAAAACATCTAGCAGTTCATACTCTTTTAACAGCATTTATGCAATTATTTCAACAAGGACATCATTAATTACAAAAGGATATGCATACATTATATGTACTCGTTCTACTTTCACTTTGCATACGATGACACAAAAAGTTGTGAATCCAATTTTAGAACTTCACATAATAAATGTACAAAACATACGATCAAATTACTCAAATCATGAACCATATAAAGTGTTAGATTAATATGCCAAGATTTGTAATTTAAATACAAATAAAACATGGGGACTTGAAATGACCAAACTTTACTTATAATGTGATAAAAACCCTTTATAACTGTCTATGACATTATATCCATGATGTATTCATCTTGTCTGTTTATACTGTAAGCTACCCCAGGGGTGGCTAGTATTTCTGAATCCTCAGCATCTATATAGGCCATAGTTTATCTTCTAAATAAATCATCTTTTGTCAGGATGTACCAGTAATTAAATTTGTTCTAATATGTTAAACAACCAGGCACCACTCTGTGTAGATTCTTTGTTGAATGATACTCAAGATGGTTGATCAGTCATACTCAGCATTTATTGTATGTGCAGCATCTCATAATCATAACAATACAATATGTAAACATCAATATAAAACAGCTGATTCTTCAGAAACACAAGTTTAGGTCGTCCAGTGTGGTAGGAGATTTCTAACTAGGCTAGATATACGTAAATAACATTATAAGTATCTCACCGTTTTGGTTTTCTTTCTTTTAACTTTCAAATATAGCCGCCATACAACTAGCTGAAATCTGTCGTAACGTAGTATGCGCTCGCTTATATAACCTCCCATTCCCTGTCACATGACTCGAATTATCCAATAAAATTATGCCGTACGAACTATTAACCAATCAAAAGCTTGTACGGGAGGCTGAGTTCCCACACAAGTTCCCACACAGAACTACTTCTGCCACACAAGCTTCCGTACAACATCGTAACTAGAAAAACTATGTAAAATTAACAAGTGGAAATATAACACATAAAATAAGCTTGACTAGACGAATTAATAAATTCCTTCAATGTTTATAAAACATCCCTAGACTGTACAATATATGCAGAACAATGTAGCGTATGAATATCGTAACTACCGATACTAGCGTACACAAATGTAGTCCCGATAAAGCTGACTGATTATAAAGTGAATGCTAACAATAAATAACAACTTGTAGCTTCAAATCACAAAACAACTCAAACTAAAAAAGTAGAATACGATCCCATATTCATAACTTCAATAGAACAATGCATTACTAGTAAATACATATAGGTCACCAAACCGGAAATGACGATCCGAGTAAAGTATGATGGCTTCCAAAACATGAAATGTAAAATCCACCCTCTATTCCCCGATATTATAACTCCTACGATATTACATGAAGCGACAACAGGTAAATTATGATGATAATAGCTATTACTAAAATCGTATCTAGAAAAGCTGACATATTATTTCCAATAAAATCATAAACGAACAACTTTCCTGGCAGGCACATGTTGAACATAGATTTAACAAGAATGAGAACTGGACGACCGCATAATATTACGTTTACAAATCAAGTGATATATTACACTCCCCACAACTTAATTACAAAATTCTCCTGAATTTAACATGTACAGAACATAGCTCTTTACAGTCTTTAACACTTTCACAATCTAATAGGAATGTCCTTAGAGTCAATGGTGGAGAGGAAGTCATCAGTGGAACGGTCTCTGAGGGCACATGATCTCTCCAGCATCCTTATCCAGGTGGGATCTCCGTTGTCTTCACTTACAATGGTCTTGAGCTGTTCGTAGATGTAATACCGAGCCTTGCGAACAATGTGCGCTTCTTTCTTCCCCTGTTTCTCAACTGTGCCTGGAAGTGCCAAGAAGTTGAACTTGTCTAGAAGATCTATTCGTTCGATGGTGGAACTTTTCGTCGGGTCCATCCGCTGTTGTAACGTCATTGATGCGTATTCCCACGATAATAGCTTTCTGTCTGCAGACATCGCCTGCCACTCTGTAGGGGGCCATGTAATGCTTACATCCTTGTATTTAAGCGTTATTTGTGTGGAACTCCAATCCCTTCTGGCTGGGGGGAATAGTGGGAGGCATCCTCGCTTTAATAGGTTGAGGGCCCTCTCCGACATACTAGCCCTGGGTTTTTCATTAGGTTCTTTCTGTGAGGCCAGCTCAAACAAAACTTCCTCTGTGGGTGGTGCAGGGAGAGCTGGGGTGGGGCTTAGCCTTATCTTCTTAGTTGGAGGACTGGCCTCTGTCTCTTGGGAGGAGTAGATCTGGTCCAGATGAGTATGTTCAATGCCAACAAACTTAATCAACCTATTCTGAATGGTTGGTGAGGTTACCGGTCTCATTTTCTGTAGATTGGACTGAGGAGCTTCAACCCTCTTCTGGACAGACATTTTCCTAGACAGGCTGGCAATACCCTTGGCATCTGATAAAATTGCTTCCTTCAAGATGATCTTGTACACTTGTCTGCCCTGGCCCACAAACACACATATGTTCCCCAAGACGAGGGAGACATACAAAATCTCGAGCTCTTCTACCTCTGGGGCGGTGGGGGTGTAGCATACTGTATTCAGCTCCTCCTCATAGTCGGGCTGGAAGAGTGATTCTGGGGTTGGCGCCCGTGCTTTGCCGTTCTTCTTGAGCTGGTCCCAGCCTCTCTGCCAGTCGTCCTTCTTTCTTGACATTCTCCTTGCTGTTGACAACCACTCCAAAACTAGCACTCTTGCGTGGGTGGCAGACGTACTTCCCCAATCCGTCCCATTCACCAGGCGACTGTACCCTTCTGGGTCGAGGCTAAACCACACTCCATTGTTCTCCGAAATCAAATCTGACGGATATTTAGCAAGTTGATTTGGGTGGGTACTCTTGATATGGCTTCTGAGGTCAGTCACTCTCTTGTACGTCCTTTCATCAGGGCACCAGGGGCAAATAACTCGCATAGTTCCATGGGCTGGCATCATGTGATTCTTTAAATCTCTGCTTGAGGGAAACTTTAGGTGGCACACCCAACATTCCATATCCATAGTATCTACATCTAAATCTCTAAGAGACTGGTTAGAACAAGACATCAAACATCTATTAGATTCAGTGCGTGATGTGTACCAGGTAGTAGGTCCACGTCTATAATACTGTCTTATAAACGACTTGTTAACCATCTCTATCAACATCTTTGGGAGAAGAGTTCTGGGTGATCAGGCCAGCTCTATCCCAACCTCAGTGGTGCGCACCAATCTCACATCTATCGTCTACATAAACATCTAAGTATGACTTCTTAAACTAACATAAAACATAAGAATACAAAACAACATCTGAAGAAACTTCTATGGTTTATTCAAAATTTTCTTAAACCAGTTAGGGAGGGTTTTCCCTTTGTAATTTGCGGGTTTTCGGAATGTCCTTTGCACGAGGTAGTTCAAATCATCTATTCGCTTAGTGATGAGATAAGGACCTTTCCATTTAGAAGTTAGTTTTGGACACACTCCAACTTTCCTGGTATCGTCATACAGCCAGACAGGTTGACCTCTTTCAAACAATTGTTTCTTTGCTTTGAGATCATAGTGACGTTTATTGTATTCTGTGCTCTTTTTCAGGTGTTTCCTGGCCAGGGCATGAACATCTGTCAAAATTCTTTGCAGCTCATCAATATACTCATTTGGTTCTATGCCATCATCTGTCTGATTTGGAGGTTTGCCAACAACTGCTTCTAGGGGTAGAGTAACATTTC